TCCTGCTGATAAACATTTATCGATTGATTTTGAAATATTTCTAGTCTTGTGATTTGTCTATATATTAAACCATTAGCATTAATCATTTTGATTATATTCTTTGTATGTCTTTTTACATGTTTTACACCAGACCATTGTGGAATTTTGCAGTACAAATGGATTTTTGAAGTCTCTCTTTTTAATGGTATTTTGTGAATTTTTTACTCCCTAAGTTTAAATATATAATTGTTCCCAGTTTTATTTCAGTGCACAATGTCTTAATATATAATGCATTGTGAGATTTAGAAGGCTAGTATTGTAAAGATTTGTGATTACCTGACCCATGAACAGTTCTATAACAGGTGGATACCAACTACCTCGAAGCAAATTGGTAAAAGGCAAAGGTATCTCTTAGAAGTATATCTCTTTCAAAGTTATATATGTATAGAAAAATTGATCATAGTTTATCATCAAGTAGCATGTTTCCATTCCTAAGGAGAATTTGAACTGATCAGTTATTTCTCTGTACTTTTTTAAATCTATGAAGTCTGGGTTTTAAGAGCAATGGCACAATTGCATGTTGACTCTTCAGCAAATCTGTGCTGCTTGCAGATAAGAATACTGTTTGGTTTTTTTAAGTTATCCATTTTGAATGAAAAATGGTAAATGGATTTACATCCATTGATTTTACTGTATTTTAGCCATTTATTTTAAAGTGTAAAGGGATGTCTTAAAATGAGGATAATATTCCTTACCTCTTTAGTAGTACAAAAGCATAGCTTCTGTGATTGGCTTATGTGATTGTGTCCAAAACTTGAATAGTAAGAATACTCAAAGTCTGATGCTTAATTTTTCCCATGGCTGAGAAGGAAAGCTTTGGTATGGTGGTCCATGTAAAGTATGTAAGAACATGGCTCCTTCCCTTTGGATTGCCTGGCTATGGTTAAATGGGATTTAGTTTAGTGTGTTTCTAAAGACTTCTACTTATGGCACATTTTGTGTACCTTCTAAGTCCTTATTTCTCCCAGCCTACCCCAACCCCCAAATTATTTTTAAAAAGACAGGGATTTAACAAAAAGGCTTACATAAGGAATTTGAAGCACAGGAAAAGACACAGAGCCAACAGAATGAGAAACATCTATTTTTCATTGTTTTATATCACCACCATATCTGCCTTTTCCTTTTTCTTAATAAGCATTCTTTGTAACCTTCAGACTCCTTTTATATTTCTAAGGTTTATAAAGCACATATACATATGTAATGTAGCAATTTGGCTCAAAAAAGCACAGCATTCTTACTTTAGCTGCATCTTAGAACATCACCTTAAATAAATGGCCTCTGGTAAATAAACCTAAAAAAGCACAATTATTATTAAAACCAATGTATTGGATCCAATGTTAGGGTATTTCTATTCTGAATAATAGAGATGATTATCAGAGGAGTAAAAGGTGTTTGGTTGGGAGTTACAAAAGGAAAGAGGACTGATTTGACACAGTTTTAAGTTTCTTAAGTCAGGCCAGTGCCAATTCCGAAAATAAATTTACAGTGAAGAAATAGTGCTCATTCACACACTAGTATATAGTGGACTTCCTGTCACATTCTTTTCCTACTAGTATTTTCTATTACCCACAATAAATATTTTGTTATGCCAAAAACATAGAGAACTCCATGATTAACATGTATATGTGAACATTTCCCTAACCCAGGAACCATCGCAACATAAGCAAACTTGGGCTCTCATATGCAAACATTCTAGGAAAAAAATTACTCATGCATGTAGCATTATCAAAATATTTTTAAGTGTAAGAATCACAAAATTATCAAAATGATAACTGTTGAACTTGGATGCTGGGGACTTTGGTTCATTATACTAGTCTTTCCTGGAAGTAAGCTCCTCTCTAGCCAGTTTGTGGTACTTCATTTGCCCTTAAGATGTCGTTTTTAAAATGTGTTCTGAGGTGTTTTTATCTATGTTGGATCTGCCACATCTAAGTCAAACTTTTCAAATGCAAGCTACCAGCTAGTTACATTTAAAAGTTGTCTATAATGCGATGATTTTAAATGTGAGAACTCATAAGCATCACCTGGGAAGGCTGTTAAAAAGCAGGTTCCTGGGCCCACCTTAGATTCTGATTAAATCCATGACTGATGCAGATGGTCTGTGGAGCACACTGTTGGACGCTGTCTCACTGCTTCAATACAGGCTAAAGTAATGTGGAATCACACAGCAGAAAGTTCTACAAGAATCAGACTTCTTCTAATTTTCATACAAGGGTAACTTTATTAAAGCAAAGAAATGAATATAATTTTAAGGACATTTTTCAAAGGACTCCACCTCCATCATATCTTCTCCTAATTTTTATCTTCACTGAGAAATTATGCAAGGTTAAGTTTACTTTTTTCTAGTGCTGCTGTCTTTGCTCGTCTTGGTAGTCTCATCTTCATTTCTGATTCTGGCTCTGGAATTTCATGATCACTAAACAGATGTTGAAATACACCAATTTAAATACAAGCTTTAAAACCAGTTTATTTATAAATAAAACTTTGTTTCTGTCATTCTATCCGTGTGTGATTGATATCCTGATTCCATTAAGCTTAAAACTGAAATCTCAAAACCAAAAAACACCAATTGGCTATCCAGCAAAGTGAACCATGGAAAACCTAACTAATTTTTTTTTTATATCTACATGGAACCCGGTATTATACAGAAAAAAGCAAAAACCAAAAACCCAAACTTCTATAATGAAGTTTGTAATTAAACAGGAACCATAACAACTGCCCAAGAGTTTTTTGGGAAACTCAAGTAGTGAAAAAATAAGTTCTATTTATTTAGGCAATACATTCCTAAAACACTGTAAACAGCAAGTTTCCCCAAAAGATACTTTAAATTTAATTAAAACTTGATCTAAAGTTATAAACTGAAAATATATACATTTTACCTATGAATGAATGAATGCAAGACAGCTGTAAACAGCTTCCAACAATGGCTTATTGGCAGAAACCAAAAATAAACTATATAACTAACATCATCCAAATTATAGGCAGAATTATTCTATCATTATAAATGTAGAGAACCCAAATCTGAATCTCAATAGTTTGCTAATTCAAGTTCAGAGAAGTCATACATACATGATCTTATAATTAGAGGAATACATGGAAATACAATTTGAAAGAACATAAAGATAACTACCTAGTACTAAAAGCCATGTCAACGGACAGGAAAAGCACACAAGCCAGAGGAAGTCAAATGCTCTTAGATACATAATCTAAAAAGCTGTAAATTTTCACAGATTATCTTGTTAAATAATCACAGTATAAGCAAACTACAATTTTTTTCTTTTACTTCTAGACATTTTTTTTTAATGAAGATAAACCTCTTTACATATTCTAGATGTGCATGGCATACCTTTCAGAGTCAGCCTCAGCCTCAACAGTCTGACGTCTCCTGTTCATTCTAGCTGAAGCTGTCACTTTTCTCCGTCCTTAAAGACAGTATATAAATCATTATCAAAATCTATAATCAATTGCTCATTTTTAACCTGTTTTCTGGGCTACCCAAATCCTTTATCTTTCCCTCTTCAACACCCTTTCCTCCTAGTTCCCAGCCACCTTGATACAAATGATCAACACCATGGAGAAAAGGAACCCCAGCAAGATCAAAATTTTACTAATTTCTTTTGTAAGCTCTTATAATAAGCAAGGGAAAAGATGGAAATTGAGTTATAGGTGGCAAATTTTGTTAAATTTATTTGGGGGAAAGAAGCATGTGAAAAATGTTATATAAAGAAAGTACCTCATAGCACAAGGTATATGGAGAACCTAATGAAAATTAAGGTTAAAAAGAGAGATTTAGCCCATAAAACAGATCCTAAATAAATAGAACTTTAATCAGTAAGGTATAGTTTATTATAAAATATTCGAACATATACATGGTCAATTCAAATGTGTGTTCTAAAACATTTCAGTATAAAAATTAAAGCCCTTTATATGCTGGGGGGTTACAAAAATTCTACTAGCTAGAAATTCACAAGGTTAAGCAGTGAAGTGGCCTGTGATGCTCATTTATGATAATAAAACAGCATATATAAATGAAGTTTGAGCTATTAAAAAAAAAAGAGGTGTAGTTCTTATACCTGACTAAAAGCAATCTGATCTAAAGCAGATTATCCAATATGATCATTTGGTTGAAACTTATATACCCTACTTATTCAAGTGAGAGTTTTTGTTTCTGTTTTCTTCCAACTGTACATATTTGCTTGTATACTTCTAATACAGTTATCCCCAAGAAAACATCCAACAATATGGGACTAATGTGGAACAATCAGCCAGCAATTAGCATTTAAATAACTGACTGGCTACAAAACAATATTACTTTTTTCCATTTAGAAAAAAATTAAGTCTACACAGAAAAGGGCCTCAAAAAATATTTTTCAAGGATTAAAATAATGGTTGGTTCATAGGTGGAATTATTAGCATTCTTTTGATTAGTTTGCTTGGATGTGTTTTCTGATTCTTCTGTAATAAGCATGCATTGCTTTTGTAATAAGAAAATAATAAAAGATTAAAAAGACCTTGAATTTCATTTTTTTTTCCTAAGTGATCCCCTAATAGTCAACATTTACTTTATTCCAGCAAATCCCCTATTGTTGGATATCCTTTGAAAATAAATTATGTTGGGAAAATATGAAATAAAACTGAAAAGAGAAGCCCAGAAAAATACTAGGAGGATAAAAGGGACAAAAATGCTTAGTTATATAAAGGACAGACCACAAACAACTGATAATATAAATATAAAATCATTGTTCATCATTTGATAATAAAAATCTTAATTTAACCCAAATAGTCCTTTGCAGTATGATCTTTTGCATCATATTTCTTTCAATCAAAAGCACTTGAAGCAACACTAATGTCTTTTAGACACAAAGCAAAACCTAGTATCAGCTAAAACAAATCAAAAAGAAAGTTAAGGATACTGAAGACAATAAATAATCTTTATACCTATCTAAGGAAACAAATTATTTCACTGGATAACAAAACTGAGAAGTTTTATTATAAGGTTAGTCAATCCAGGGGACTTCCCTGGTGGCGCAGGGGTTAAGAATCCGCCCACCAATGTGGGCAACATGGGTTCAAGCCCTGGTCCAGGAATATCCCACATGCCATGGAGCAACTAAGCCCGTGTGCCACAACTACTGAGCCTGCAAGCCACAACTACTGAAGCTCGTGCGCCTACAGCCCATGCTCCGCAATGAGAAGATACCACAATGAGAACCCCGCACACCGCAACGAAAAGTAGCCCCCGCTCGACGCAACTAGAGAAAAGCCTGCACACAGCAATGAAGACCCAATGTAGCCAAAAATAAATAAATTAAAAAAAAAAAGAATCCGCCTGCCAATGCAGGGAACACGGGTTCAATCCCTGGTCCAGGAAGATCCCACATGCCGCAGAGCAACTAAGCCCATGCACCGCAACTACTGAGCCTGCACTCTAGAGCCTGCACACCACTACTACTGAGCCCACACACAACTGCTGAAGCCCACGTGCCTCAAGCCCGTGCTCCACAACAAGAGAAGCCCCCACTCGCTGCAACCGGAGAAAGCCCATGTGCAGCAACAAAGAATCTAATGCAACCAAAAATAATTAATTAAATAAATAAACTTATTTTAAAAAAAAGCTAGTCAATCCATATATTACCTCTGTTGGTCTTTTGCTGAGTGGATTTCATTCGGGTTTCTTTTACATCCTTGACAGGAGTTACATATACTTCTTTGTTGTTTTCTATTAAAGGAAATAATAGAATTATTAATGAACTAAATTAAAAGTAGCCTCATGAAATACTTTAAATGATCAAATCAATGACAACCAGTCCCAATAGCAGCTATTGAAAATTTATCATAAGTGTTCCAAAAAAATGTGAACACTGGAAAATAAGCAAGCAAAACTCTTAGGAACATAGTATGCATGGTCATATGGTGAGTGAACATTTCTCAGTAATACACTTTCCTAAGGGGATTTAATTAGAAAAACTTTTCTTCCATTTCTGACATACAATCACATATATGTTAGAGGAGGAAAACAATGTATCTCAGTAAAGATGAAAAGGACAGAATCTTATAAATACTCAGGTTAGTATGTCATTACCATCTTCACTTTGAAAAACAGTTGTAGTTGTGTTGTCATCCTGTGCCGCTACAACTTGGTCACCATGTTCTTTATTTCCTTTTTCTAACTGAACCTTGATTTTCTCCAAAGCTCTCACACACATTCTATCTTTTACTTGCTGTAACAGAAAACTTTTTTTAGTGCAGCATTTTCTAATCTTTCAAAAACGCTATATACTGATAAAGTTAATACAACATTCTAAAATTCTATTAAATTTATGAAGGAAATATTTACTTCAAATGAGCAAAGTCAGAGCATACTAATGTATGCATAAATTAATAGAATCATGTAAATTCTACTTTGATAAAAATTTATACACATTAAGAGTAACTAGAAACTACTTACCTCCAGAATCTCATTCAGTAGAACCAGAAGATCTTTAGCAAGACTGCTAGTGAGTTCTAAAGAACTCAAGGCTTTCGTATAGACCCGAATTTCTGGTGAATATGGACATGTTAGGATCTCATTGCAAATTTTTATAGCCAGATTGTCATGAACTGTCAAGGCCTGGAAAATCAAGAGAAAAATCCTTGTCAATTGAAATGGTGTGATTACAATACAGTCTGACACATCTATCATTTCCAACTAATTATCTTGACATAATCCAAAATGTCTAAAACAAAATTGTCATAGTCCTCCCCATGTGAGCTCCCCTTCTTGTAGAGTGGATGCTGTGGTACAGGGCTCAGATCCATCTGCTTTACCACTGACCATTCATTCTCCAGGCTACCACGAGTTATGGGGGCTAAAAGTTCCCAGGTGCAGAACTGATCCAAGCTGAAGACAATGGGCTCTGCCTAAGGTCACACCTTCCCCGCAAGGGTTAGTCCACATTCAATAACTGGTAGATGTACAGGTACAAGAGCCTAGCCTTGTTTCAATTCTGGACAAAGCAAAGAACTATCCCAATTCTGGAACTTCTGTGAGATCAGCTGGGACCTTAAGACTGCATGATAGGGCTTCCCTGGTGGCGCAGCGGTTGAGAGTCAGCCTGCCGATACAGGGGACACGGGTTTGTGCCCCGGTCCGGGAAGATCCCACATGCCGCAGAGCGGCTAGATTCATGAGCCATGGCCGCTGAGCCTGCGCTCCGCAACGGGAGAGGCCACAACAGTGAGAGGCCCGCGTACCAAAAAAAAAAAAAAAAAGACTGCATGGCAGTTCAACTTCTTCCTCTGCCCAATCTATTTCCCTCACTCCTCCAAGATGCTGATCATGAGAGTACGCCCTAATGTCAACAGCTTCTTTGAAGTCTTCTGTCACCCACACTTAGGAGCTCAGAGTTATCTTGGATTCCTCCATCTCCCTTGCCTCACACAAAGTTCTTTCTTCTAGGCTTTTCTACCCATAATTTTTTTTCTATGTCAATTTCTACTACTTTTTTCTGTCTACTTTCTACTACTTTATATTATTCTTTTTCTGTAAGCTTTTATCTCCTAATTATATCAACTTTTAACTGCCCTCTTTATTAATATTCTCTCCCTATTCCTCTTACCAATTCACCTCACCTAATGAAACTGACCACCAAATTAATCTCCCTAATAAGTAACTGTCATCCCATTAACCCTTTCATTATACCCTTTCATTATACGCCCTGCAAACAGTCAACTCCAAATTCCCTATCCTAATGTTCTTCCCTAACAGACCTATTCAGAATCCTTAGCTGACATATTTTTTCCACAGTTCCCCAACATGACTTGTACTACCAGCTACATTTAATCACCTCTACTAAAAGTCTTTCTCTCTATCCAAACCACTCCCCAAATCCCAACAAGGCCTAAGTGAATTTTACTCAGTGAGATTTAAAACTAGTAATGCTGTACTCATCACCCATACCACATGAAACCTGCCATCTTTTAAAGTGCTAAAGCACTTAGTAGCTATATCACTGACCCTTACTATATTTTGCCTTAATATCCATTATAATCTTCTTTCCAATAACATGTAACATAGTAACTCAAATGAAGTATGCAGTCACTAAGTAACAAAACAGAAGACCAATATTTTCAACTTAATCAGCTGGCATCTGAAATAATTAACACATTAATTTTCAATATGGTGAATGTTTGATCAAATGATATTAAAGGGTTAAAAACCAGCTTACATGTAATTTGTGGGAGGGCATGCACTTACTATATCTTCTTTGAATTAAAAACAAAACTAAGCTTGAGGTGAGTTTCAATCTTTGAATTCTCCTTCCTTGTATCAGAAACAGAGCAGGTAAGCCAACAACTGAGGACTCAATGAGTCCTACATAACAGGTCATTATTCAGAATGATTAACAGCCAGAACTAGGTGGGGAGGGGGTAGTAAGGATGATGAATTTTTGGTAACTTCTTTTCAGTAGCAAAAATGTTAGCACTGATTACTTCTATTTTTATATGATTATCTCCCCATTTCCCAAAAGATTTTTTTTAATTATAATTGATCTACAATATTATATTAGTTTCAGGTGCACAACAGAGTGATTCAATATTTTTATAGATTATACTCCAAGTTATTATAAAATAATGGCTACATTTCCCTGTGCTGTAACAGTAATCCTTGTAGTTTATTTTATACATAGTAGTTTATGTCTCTTAATCCCCTATCTCTATCTTGTCCCTCTCCCCTCCCCTTCCCTAACTAGTAATCACTAGTTTGTCCTCTATAACTGTGTGTCTGTTTTGTTATATTCATTCGTTTGTTTTACTTTTTAGAGTCTGCATATAAGTGATAACAGAGTGTTTGTCTTTCTCTTGACTTACTTCACAAAGCATAATACCCTCTGGGTCCATCCACATAGTTGCAAAAGATCTTTTTCTTTTTCTTGCTTTGTGTTATGTGCTACCATATAAACTAGAAATCTCAAGATCTATACGTAGCTTCTCACTATTTCAAAGAATATATGAGAGGGGTTATTTTGCCAAAGCATGCTAGTTACCATCGCTAGACCATCCCACAGGCTAACATACTCACCTACCTGATAATCTTGGGAATTCTTGGCCTGAGGATTTAATCCACTTGGTCTTGTCAAGTCTACAAGTAACTCAGCAACATTAGTGATGTCTATTTCAGCTAAAGGAGAAGATGCAGGGGCATTGGCCAGTATTTGTAGAGTTGGAAGAAAGGCTTCTTCAAAACATTCCTGGTTGGTCCTATTGAAAAACAATTTGAGGTATGTTGGCAAAGAAAAAACATATGATTCTTTAAAAAGCAGCAACAACATTATATATTAAATGCAACCCACCAAGATAGAGTACATATTCATCTAGGAAAGAGCCAAATAATTCAGGTAGATAGAATCTAAGTAAGTTCTTCACTTACCACTGAAGAAAAAGAACATTAACAACAAAATACTATAGATATGACTCATAGGGAGCCTGAATTTAACTTCAAGTTAGGTTTTGATTTATCGATGTGACTAAATACCTGCTTGCATAAGCAAACATTGGGAAGAACACGCCTAGGCAATGTCGAAGTCGAACATCCTCTTCAGTCACAGGATTGTACCATAACAAGACAAGACGAGAAAGAATCCTGCTGCTGACCAAAAGCCCAGAGAACATCAGCTTGGCTAGTCCTTCTGCAGCTCCTGTCCTGAGTTCAGACACCTATTAAAAATGACTTTCATTTAAAAGAAATTTTTTATTTGTATTTCCTTTTTAAGCCTTACATTGTAGCCTAAAATAAGTATTTTTATATAAACTATCCAAAATCATTCCTGTTATTATGAATTATTTTAAAGGCACATAAAAAGATTTTGTTTTTTCCTTTTAGGTTAAGGCTATGTGACAAATTATTAGTCTGGCTATGAAAACTTCAATTCCTTTTAAACTCTTTAGAAAAACCAAAAGATCTTATAATATTGTGAAACCAGAAATCAAAACTATATGTATTAAACACATCATGGTGCTAAGATATAGAAAACCCTCAGTAATGGTCTCTGCCATCAGAGGTGCCTATAAATGAAAGCTCCAGAGGTGGGTGTGGCAATGTGTGTGAATAATAGGTAAAATGTGAATAGAAGGTGTACAAGTAGAAAAAGGCATTCCTAGAAAGAGAAACCAAAACAAACCTAGAGAAGAAAATGGAAAAGATGTAGTGGTGTTCAAATGCAGGTACAGATATAAAAGAGTAGTAATTAAAAATATTGGTTATTGAGACTGAATTAAATTCAAGCCTCTGACACTTCCTAGCTGCATGATCTGATCCTGTGCATATTACTTAATTTCTTTGTGCCTCACTTTTTCCATATACAAAAAAAGGAATAATAAAACTACTTATCAAAAAACACAAAGAAATAATACATGTAAAGCTCTAAGGAGTGCTATCTACACAGTAAATCCTCAACACATGTCAGTGATTATTATTATTGATGGAAAGTAAGTTTGCTCAGTGATCAGATTAGAGAGACCTCGAAAATTAGGTAAAGAAATATGGTTGAAGATTTTTGAAAGGGTAGGGAGATAAGATTTGAATGAGATTTCAGGAAAATTATCTAGACAGGCCATAATCTGGGAATGAAAGACAAGTCTAAACTAGAGGGGACAGGAGGAAAAACAGAGTAATGAGCAGATACAAGAACTATTTCAGAAATTTTTCAAAACTCAAAAATAAGAAGAAAAATGTAGAGGTTGATAAGATTAATAAGAGCCAGGGTACTGGCATGTGCTTTCCACATACAAACTCATTTAGGGCTCACAACAACCATGAGAGCAGAGACTTTGTTCCACTCAGCATTGTACTCTCAAGAGCATATAGTGACTGGCACATAAATAGCTCTCAAATATTTGTTGACTAAATTAAAGAATTATCCCACTGAATAGGCATCATAATTCCCATTTTAAAGATAAGGAAACAGAACAGAGACAGTAAATACCTTACTTAAGATTCACAGACATTAGCAGAACACAATCTTTAAGTCTCCAACTCCAAAGGCTGCATGCCCTCTGTCTTTTTAAAAATTTCTAATATGGGAATTTTAATTGGGACAGGACTGCAAGTCTTTAAAGCATGTGAAAAACTATTATTTATGGCCCAGAGGACAGTCAAGGAAGTCAAGATTTTTTTAGTGGTTATGCCAAAAATAAAATCAAAGTCACAGAATCTAGTTTAGCTAAAAGGAGATTAATGTACCTGCACTATTTAAAAAAACAAAAACAAAATTCATTCATCTACTGTCAAAACAGTTTTCATGTGCAACAGTTTTCCATCTATGCAATGTCAGCAAGCCCACAGCACTAGACAACTGCCAATGAGAAGTTAGTCTATCACTTGGCTAATAACTCAAAATTTAAGAAAATACTGATACAATTATACTCCAATAAAGATAAAAGAAAAAAAATACTGATAAGGAAGGACTTATTTCCACCATTCTGCAGTCCAAATGTGAAGTAAAAAACTGTTACAATATACAAAAGACATTAAATATTGATTTAAAAAAGGTCAATTCTTCAAAAAGATAATTATAAACATATACACAACAAACAACAGAGCCCCAAAATATATGAACATACACTGACAGAATTGCAGGGAGAAATAAACAGCTCTATAATAATAACTGAAGACTTCAATACTCCACTTTCTGTAATAGACAGAACAACTAGACAGACCAATAAGGAAATAGAGGACTTGAACACCACCATAAACGAACTAGAACTACCAAACATATAGAACACTCCACCCAAAAATAGCAGACTACACATTCTTCAGGTGCACATGGAACATTCTCAAGAACAGAGGCTATATTAGGCCCAAAACAAGTCTTAATAAATTCATAAAGAATGACATTATACAAAATATCTTCTCCAACTACAATGGAATACACCTGAAAAGCAACGAGACGAAAACTGTAAAATTCACAAGTCTGTAAATTAAACAATACACTCTTCTTACACACCAAAGGTCAAAGAAGTCATCAAAATGGAAATTAGAAAATAATTAGATGGGGGCTTCCCTGGTGGTGCAATGGTTAAGAATCTGCCTGTCAATGCTGGGGACATGGGTTCGAGCCCTGGTCTGGGAAGATCCCACATGCCACAGAGCAACTAAGCCTGTGTGCCACAACTACTGAGCCTGCACTCTAGAGCCCACAAGCCACAACTACTGAACCTGCAAGCTACAACTAATGAAGCACGCGTGCCTAGAGCCTGAGCCTGTAACAAGAGAAGCCACCACAATGAGAAGCCCGTGTACCGCAATGAAGAGTAGCCCCCGCTCGCTGCAGCTAGAGAAAGCCTGAGCACAATAACAAAGACCCAAAGCAGCCAAAAAAAAAAGGAAAAAAAAGAAAATAATTAGATGAATAAAAATGAAAATGCAACAAACAAAAACTTATGGTGTGCATCAAAAACAGTGTTCAGAGGGAAATTTATAGCAGTAAATGCCTACATTTAAAAAAAAAATCTCAAATCAATAACTTTACACTTTAAAGAACTAAAAAAGAGATAGAAAATCAGGGGTGGGGCAGGGAGAATCAATGAAACCAGAAGTTGGTTCTTTGAAAAGATGAACACAATTGAAAAACCCTGAGTTAGACTAACAAAGAAAAAAAGAAGATGCAAATAACTAAAATCAGAAATAAAAGCAGGGACATTACAACTGACCTTACAGAAATAAAAAGGATTATAAATGAATAAGAACTGAATACCAACAAATTAAACAACCTAGATGAAATGAACCAGTTCCTAGAAACACACAAATTACAAAAATAGACTCAAGAAGAAATAGAAGATCTGAATAGACTTATAAAAATAAACAGATTGAATAAGTAAATCAGAAACCTCTCCAAAAGAAAAGTCCAAGACCAGATGTGTTCACTAGTAAATTCTACCAAATATTTAAAGAAGACTTGACACCAATCTTTCTCAAAGTCTTCCAAAATAATAGAAGAGGAGAAAACAACTCCTATCTCAGTTTATGAGGTCAGTATTACACTGATGCAAAAGGCAGACAAAGACCAATACAAGGAAACTACAGACCAATTTCCCTTATGAATACAGATGTAAAAATCTTTAATAAATTACTAGCAAATGGAATCCAACAACATATTAAAAAGATTATACACCATAAGCAAGTGGGATTTATCCAAGGAATGCAAGGGTGGTTCAACATAAGAAAATCAAGTAATGTAATGTACCATAGCAATTAAAAAAAAAAATCATGGGCTCCCCTGGTGGCACAGTGGTTGAGTCCGCCTGCCAATGCAGGGGGCACGGGTTCGTGCCCCAGTCCGGGAAGATCCCGCATGCCACGGAGCAGCTAGGCCCGTGAGCCATGGCCGCTGAGCCTGCACATCCGGAGCCTGTGCTCCGCAACGGGAGAGGCCACAACAGTGAGAGGCCCGTGTACCGCAAAAAAAAAAAAAAAATCACATAATCATTTCAATTGATGTAGAAAAACCATTTGACAAAATTAAACATGTTTTTATGACTGGAAAAAAAAACAGAAGAGAACTTCTTCAAAATGAAAAAGGGCATTTATGAAGAATCTACATCATACTCAATGGTTAAAGACTGAAAACTTTCCCCCTAAGATCAGAAACAAGACAAGGATGCCTGCTTTACCCACTGCTATTCAAGATTGTACAGCAAGTTCTAGCCAGAGAAATTAGGCAAGAAAAACAAATAAAAGACATTCAAATTGCAAAGGAAGAAATAAAACTGTCTCTTCACAGATGACTTGGTCTTATAGAAAAAATCCCAAAGAATACACACACACACACACACACACACACACACACACACGGAAACTATTGTACAAGAGCTAACAAATGAATGCAGCCAAGTTGCAGGATACGAAATCAAATCCACACACAAAACAGTTGAGTTTCTATACAACAAGAATGAACAATCCAAAAAAAGGAAATTAGGAAAACAATTCCATTTACAATAGCAACCAAAATAAAATATATAGGAATAAATTTAATCAAGGAAGTAGAAAACATGTACCCTGAAAACTATATACCATTTCTGAAAGAAATTAAAAATGACCTAAATAAATGTAAAGATATTCGAGTTCATGGATTGGAAAACATAACATTAAGATGGCAATACTGCCCAATGCAATCTACATATTCAATGCAATCCCTATCAAAATTCCAAGACTTTTTTCCAGAAATGGAAAAGCCAACCCTCAAATTCATAAGGAACTGCAAGATACCCCAAATAGCCAAGACAATACTGAAAATAAAGAACCAAAGTTGGAAAACTCAACTTCCTGATTTCAAAACTTACTATGAAGTTACATGAATCAAAACAGTCAGGTACTGGCACAAGGGTGGACACAAACAATGGAAAAGAATTGAGAGTCTAGAAATAAACCCATATTCCTATGATCAATTGATTCTCTCACCCTCCACAATGGTGCTAAAACAATTCAATAGGAAAAGAATAGTCTCTTCAACTAATGGTGCTGAGACAACTGGATGTCCACAGGCAAACCAATGAAGTTGGACCTCTACCTCATACCATGTACAAATATTAGCTGAAAATGCACTAATCCACCTAAATTAAAAGCTAAAGGAGTAAAACTTTTAGAAGAAAACACAGAGATAAATTTTCATGACTTTTGATTCGGCAATGTATTCTTAGATATAACATCAAAAGCACAAGCAGCAAAAGGAAAGATAAATTAGTCTTCATCAAAATTTAAAACTTTTTAAAAATCTAAGGACATTATTAACAAACTGAAAAGACAAACTATAGGAGAAAATATTTGCATATCGGTTATCTGATAAGGATCTACTACCCAGAATAAAGAATTCCGAAGGACACCCCAATTTAAAAATGAGCAAAGGATTTGAATACATATTTCTCCAAACAAGGTATAAAAATAGCCAAAAAGCACATGTAGATACTACTCATCATTAGTTATTAGGGAAAGGCAATTCAAAACAAGATGGCTAAAATTTTTACTAACAATTTTTTCTTATTAATAAAACAAAATTATTTTAAAATAACAAGTGTTGATAAGGATGGAACTCTGTTCTTTGTTGGTGGGAATGTAAAATGGTTCAGCTGCTATGGAAAACAGTTTGGCAAGTCCTCAAAAAGTTAAAGAAATTACCACATGAAATCATGAAACGCCTACAAAAAACAGGATAATAAGCTCCTTAACATAGGTAACAAAAGCAAAAAAAAACACATGGGACTATATCAAACTGAAAACCTTCTGCACAGCAAAGGAAACTATCAACAAAATGAAAAAGCAACCTATGGAATGGGAGAAAATATTTGCAAATTATATATCTGATAAGGGATTAATATCCAAAATTACATATAAAGAATTCATATAACACAATAGCAAAAAGCAAATAATTTGATTAAAAAATGGTCACAGGAATTGATAAACATTTTTCCAAAGAAGACATACAAATGGCTGACAGATACATGAAAAGCTGCTCAACATCACTAATCATCAGGGAAACGCAAATCAAAACTACAATGAGATATCACCTCACACTGTTAGAATGGCTTTATCAAAAAGACACGAGAAAAGTGTTGGTAAGGATGTGGAGAAAAGGGAACCTTAGGGCAGTGTTGGTGGGAATGTAAACTGGTACACTCATTTTGGAAGGCAGAATGAAGTTCCTCAAAAAATTAAAAACACAATCCAATTTTGGGGTATATATCCAAAGGAAATGAAAATAGAATCTCGAAGAGATATCTGCATGCCCATGTTCATTGTAGCATTATTTACAAGAGCTAATAAGATATGGAAACAACCCACGTGTCCATCAATGAATGAATAAAGAAGATGTGAGATATATAGTGCAATATTATTCAGCCATAAAAAGAAGGAAATCCTGCCATTTGCAACAACAGGGGTAGACCCTGAGAACATTATGCTAAGTGAAACAGCCTGACAAAGACAGACAAATACTGCATGATATGACTTATAAGCAGAATCTTTTTAAAAGTCAAACTCATAGAAACAGAGTAGAAAAAATGGTTGCCACAGACTGGTGGGTGGGTGAAATATGGAAAAGGGTATACTATCAGTTCTATTATACCTAAAAAAAAAAAAAGAAAAGAAAAAAAAGAATAAGTTCTAGACACCAAATGTAAAACATGGTGACTAGCTGATAATACTACTGTATTACTGAAATTTGCTGAGAACTTAAATGTTCTCACTCAAAAAAAAAAAAAAAAAAGATAAATATGTGAGGATGTATTAATTAACTAGTTGGGATAGGGATCAGGGGTAAAATCCTAAAAACAACAAAAAAGGATTAATATATGACCTAGTAACCCCACTTCTAGAAATATACCCCAAAGAATTGAAAATAGCTACTCAGACAAATACATCATAGCAGCACTATTCACAACAGCCAAAAGGTGGAAACAGCCCAAATATCTTTCAATGGATGAATGGCTAAACAAATTCTGGTATATACATAAAATGGAATATTATTCTGCCATAAGAAGGCTTGTGATATAAGCCACAACAGTCTTGAAAACAAGCTAAGTGAAAGAAAGCAGACACAAAGCTACATATTTTCTGATTCCATTTATAGGAAATATCCAGAAGAGTTACATCCATAGAGACAAAATGCAAATTGGTGGTTGTTAGGGGCTGGTGGTAGGGGAAATAGGGAGCAACTGCTTAATGGGTAGTTTCCTTCTGGGATAATGAAAATGTTTTAAAAATCAGAGGCAGTGGTTGCACTATATTTTTAATGTACTAAATGTCAATGAATTGTTCACTCTAAAATTGTTAATGTAATGTCAATTTCACCTCAACAAAAAAATATAAAAATTTTATAATTTAAATGTTTACATATGCTATAAAAATGTAGTTCATGAGTACCCTAAGGAAAGAGATCTAATCACATATCATATATTAGAACTTCCACCCACCCAATGTAAGATTATTTTAAATTATTTCTTAAGACCCTTGGGGGGGGGAAACTTGTAAGTCACAGATCACAAAGACAGAGAAAAAAGATGAAAAAATAACCCCCCCAGTAGTCATTTCATTTTTGTTTACACTTCAATTCTCTACACAATGTAATTTGATAGTGAGAAATTAGGTATATTAGAAGTGAAAGTAGGATTTAATTATAATATTCAAAAGGCAAATTTTAAAAAAAGTTAGCCAAGTTTAAACTTCAGCCTAAAAAATACAAAGAGGATAAACATATATATGCTGACAATTACCTTTCACAATAATTGGGCTATGATTATTTCTTACCTCACTATCTAAAAAATCAGAAAGTAGTTTTAGAACATTCTTGGCTGTATCAGCCTCTTCTTCAGATTCTTTTGACTCTTGCTCTTCATTAGTGTTTACTTCTGCACCTTCACTTTGAATAGCTTTGATTTTTTTCGTTTTAAATGGTTGAAATCCAAATGCCATCAGTTGGTCAAAGATTGCCTTTAAAGCACTTATTTTTATTGTCACATCATCAATTTGCAAAACCTAAATCGAAACATCCCCCACCAAAAGCAAATTAGGTATATTTTTATTGTTTATGCTACATAAAATTAACATATCTTATTATTAATCTAATTGCAACAACAGTGTCAAGTCTATATAAATATCTTTTAAAACTTAAAATTTATTTTAGTTATTTTTTTTATTTATACCATGACACTTTTATATTTCCTTCAGAAAAATTCTGTCTTCAGTCAGAAAAATTCCCTGAACTAAAGTCAAGCTGAATTATATTATTTGTTCCTTTTATATACAAAAAAGTATATGTTTAATTATTATTTTATTATTTTTTTTAAGATCTAGAAAAACTGTTCAATATATTGCAATTGTTTGGGGCCATCTATCAAGATAAAAACATTACATTCTAACCAATGAAAAGCATTCACTGGAACCTCAGTACTCTTCTAGGTTATCAAGTTTCATTAAAGAAATTTTTCTCTTATTAGCTCAATAAATTCAGATTTCATTAACAGTGAATTCAGTTTTGATTGAACTGGACTTCTTTATAAAAGTGAACCATAAAACCCAACAGTTTCTATGAGTCTATCCTGAATCCATAAAACCCAGCAGCTTGTATGAATCTATCCTGACTTAAAAAAACCAAATTCTTACATACCAAATTTCAAAGCCATGAAAAAATTAGAGCTGAATATTTCTACTATGAAAAGATTTACTATATTTTTTAATACACTTAAATTTTGATCACTGATAAGCTACTTGGCTATACAGCTTAGCCCACAGACTGAAGAAAAATCACCCTCAAGTTGGTCAAATGAATGAATTGAGAAAAATGGCTCAAAATTACAAAACTTCGAAGGAAATTTCAAGACACATCTATTACATATTTTCTTATGGCAAAACTTGCAAATCTGCCAAAGCCAAATGCTTATTTAGAAGAATGTACTGTCATGACTATTCTCTACAAATTCTAAACATGCTACTCTCAACAGCATCTTGGTTTTCCTTGTCCTTCTCAGTCCCTCACTGGCTAGCAATAGCTCTCAATATTGGATATTTATTTAAGAAAGATTTCTAAATGAAATAATTTCCCCTCCTGCCTTTCTAACAAGTGTGGATATATTTTTTAAGTCAATTTCTATTACTAAAACTTGATTAAAAAAAAAACTGATTTCTTATTCCCCCAAAATACTGCTCTTTTCCCTTAATCTAAAATCTTCCAATGATAGCTCTGAAAATACCTTTATAAAGATAAATAATTGAATCTATTCAGTGGTTAAATTCTTTTGATTGCGAACCCCTTTGAGGACCTAATAAGAGCCCACCTCAGAATAACATTCAAAATATAGGCAAAATTCCACACACAATTTATTTTACTGCATCTGTATCTGGTATCATTCACATTTTTTTTTTTTTTTTTTTGCGGTACGCGGGCCTCTCACTGTCGTGGCCTCTCCCGTTGTGGAGCACAGGCTCCGGACGCGCAGGCTCAGCGGCCATGGCTCACGGGCCTAACCGCTTTGCGGCATGTGGGATCTTCCCGGACCAGGGCACGAACCCGTGTTCCCTGCATCGGCAGGCGGACTCTCAACCACTGCGCCACCAGAAAAGCCCCTAAACTTTAATTTTTTTAAATTTTAATTCTATGACAAGGCTGCTATGAACTGTTTTGATTTGAAATTAAGGTAAAATTATGGAATGGTCTTGATAAGAAACATTCATTTATTTTTCACATGAACTTGATTTTGACAACTCTTTTTCACTACAGAAATTATATAGGAGCAAACAGTATCAAGGATCCTACAACTCCGTCAAATGGGGTATGAGTTAGTATTAAATAACTTCCTAATGCTCCAGGACTCTTGTAAGCATTAAATTCATATTAATTTCTTCTGTCTGAAATGACCAAAACACTTATTATTGATGTTATGTCAGCAAAAATTAAAAGGATCGAAATCCACATTTCATCTTTAAAAGTCAAGTGAATTTATGTGCCTTTGGAAAGAGTTCTATGGTATTTCTTTTGCTGCAGTACTAGAAATTTTATATAGTTGTCTAATCTCCTCTACTTGAAAACAACAACTTCTCAATACAATTTTTCAGAAGTATTCATAATGGTATATAGGGCATCTTAATGAACATTTTACCTCATTTGTAGAGTAAAAAGTGCTATACTTAATAAGCTAGACATAAATGAACCCTTCACTATGAAATTTTCTAGTAAGATTTTTCTTCCACTTAAATAAAAAGTAATGACCAGAGGTCAATCTAGCATTTAATGACCCATCCTCTAGAAAACCAGGAAATTGAAATAGAGAACTTACTGGTTTAATTTCTGAGCAAAACCTCTTTGAAAATGTAGTATTTTATTTCCTGGGCACCTATAAAGCCAATAGATTTCACAATAGTAAACAAGACTCCCTTTAGAATTACTACCAGAATCACTGATGCCAGTACCTGCTGATATAAATAGTAATGACTTTGTATAACACAGGGAGATTCATTCATTCATCCTGGAGCAAAACCAGATGTATGGCCACTGTAAATGATTCATCTGGACAAAGTACCAAGATTTTTCTTCCAGTTCGTTTGAAAAGAAACTGTACACCATTTTAAAGATAATACTTGACATTCTAAGTTTCCAAAAGGATCTCACAATAATAGAAAATTTTCTCTGATAACAAGCATAGGATGATAAATATAAACAAAGCATTGTCAGGAATTTAATCCTTGTACATTAAATGAACTGATTAGATGTCAAGTACTCCAAAAAAGGAAATTACAACAAAATGAAATTTCTGAGGACTGCCTTTTGACAAAAGTATGGTTTTAATTTTCTTCCTTTGATACAAGTCACAAACAGTTTGACCATTTCCAGAACACATGACTTCCCCAAGTTCTCCCTAATTGTATGTTTTCTTTTTCTTGGCAATGTCATATGCAACATTAAAGGATGCTTCAAGATAAGGATTTTATGTTGGGGGAAAATTCAACTATTGGTTAAGTCTTTTAATATAATCTTCATAAAAATGATCATCCATGTTGCCATGTGTTATTTTCAAGTTGAACGTGCAAAGCACTCCCATTCACCTGTTGGCAAGCAATTTGCACTAAAATTCCTTGCAGCTTTTTTATCCCATTACGTTTGACAACACCAAGAGGCTACATGAATCACACTGTCTTTTTACATGGGGAGGTGGAGGGAAGTATATTTTCCAAATAAAGCTAGGCCCAAATGTTAAAAACAGATGTCCAAAGGAGTTAAAAAGTCAAATGCATTCTACTGATACACTAGACTTAATCCCCTCTTGTCTACTCAGTAGCACTCTAGCAACTGCCCTCTCTTCCCTATATTCAGTTTTTTCCTTTCAAATGGGTCATTCTCATTAGGATTCAAACAGGCTGTAATTTTCTCCATCCTAAAATAATTCAAACCAAACCAAAAACTCTTTTTACCCCATATCTTCTCTTGCTACCACTCCATTTCTCCATTACTCCTAACAAAATAAAATCTTGAAAGAGTAGTATACACTGGCTGTCTCCAATTCCTCTCCCATAATTCTCTTTGGACCACTCCAATAGGCTTTGCCCTGTGCATAAACTAGGGCACATGAAAGTCACCGAACACTTCCTTACTTGCCAAAAATGGTCAACAATGAATCCTTATCAACCTGTCACCAGCATTAGACAGTTAGGTCACCCTGGCCTCTCTAAAATACCATCTTCACTTGCCTTCTACGACATCACACTCTCCCCTATCTACTTCACCTTGGTCTTTACTGGTTCCTCTTCATCTCCCTTACCTTAAATGTTGCCTGAAGCCTAGGCAACTATAAAGTTGAGATCTCCTCTCAAACTATACTCATTTGTCAGGTAACATCCAGTTTCTAGGCATTGGATACTATTATAAAGATTTCCAGATTCCTCTCCCCAGCCTGGGCCTCTCTCCTATCTCCAAACCCACTTAAAAATGCCTATTCAATATATCCACTTGTACCTCAAACTTCAAACTTACCATGTCCAAAACTGAACTCCTTACCTCACCTACCTGCCGTAAAACCTGTTATTCTGTTTTCCCCATCACAGGAAAGGGCAATTCCATCTTTCCAGTTATTCTGGCCAAAATCCTGTTTTCTTCCACTTCTTTCTTTCACACGCCACATCAAATTTATCAGCAAATTCTATAGACATTGTCTTCAAACTTAAATTACCATCACTTCTCATGACCCCAATAATCACAACACTGGTCCAGGTCATTATCACCTCTTTCCTGGATTACTGCAATAGCTTCCTTATGAGTATCCTTCCTTCCATACTGTATCCCTATAGTTACTATAAGGGATCTGCAAACTATGACTCATGGGCCAGTTTGTTGCCTGTTTTTATACAGCCTCCAAGTTAGGAATAATTGTACATTTTTCAATGGTTAAAAAATAATATCTCATTATTATATGCTAAAATTATAAGAAATTTAAGTATCAGTGTCCATAAATACAAGTTTTACTGATCTACAACTGTGCTTATTCAATTATGTATCATCTATGGATGTTTTCATACTACCACAGCAAAGCAGTAGTTGAGACAGACCATACGGCCTGCAAAGTCTACAATATTTACTCTCTAGACCTTTAGAGAAAAGGTTTGCCAACCAACCCATGGTCTAACCAACACTATATCCAGTCACAGCATAAAAATCCCCTACTCAATATCTTCCAATTCTGGGACTTCCCTGGTGTCCTAGTGGTTAAGAATCCACCTTCCAATGCAGGGGATGCAGGTTTGATCCCTGGTTGGGGAACGAAGATCCCACATGCCGCGGGGCAACTAAGCCCTTGTGTTCTAGAACCCTCAGGCCACAATTAGAGAGCCCGTGTGCTCCAACGCCCACACACCACAACTAGAGAGAAGGCTGCATGCTGCAATGAAGAGCCCACGCCACAATAAAAGATCCCACGTGCCGCTACTAAGACCCGACACAACCAAATAGATAAATTATTTTTAAAAAAAGAAAATAAAAACTACCAGTTCCTTCCCATCTCATTCACTGTGAAGGCTACATCTTTACAGACTAGAAATCCCTAGAAGACATGGATGACCAGCTGCCTGCAAATCATTTCTCCTACTATTCTCCCCTTTGCTCAATCTGGCCTAGCCATATGAGCTCCCGCTCCTTTAATATGTGAAGCAAAGTCCTACTGATGGACCCCTTCCCCTGCTCTTCCCTCTCTTTGGAAACCTCTTACCCAGATCTACATGGTTCATTCTCACTTCCCTCTGGTAACAGCCCAAATTTTGACTTATTAGTGAGGTCTTTCTAAACCAAACTGCTCCCTTTCCCTATTTCCAGTCCTCATTCCCCTTCTCTGCTTCATTTTTTTCCATCTGACATACTACATATTGTTTATTTTTCATTGTGTATTTCCTCTTCTAAAATGTAAGCTCCATCAGGACAGCAACTTTTATGTTTTTCATTACCTACCTTATTGTTTTCTAAGGTCTATAATAATGCTGGGCATATAATATACACTCAATAAATATTTGCTATATGATTAATTTTTTAAATACCTTAAATAATTGACATTTCATCTTTCTTCTACAAAAAAGTTTTAATAACAAAAAAATCAAAACATAAAAACTGAGCCCTTAAAAGTCATCCATGGGCTTCCCTGGTGGCGCAGTGCTTGAGAGTCCGCCTGCCGATGCAGGAGACGCGGGTTCGTGCCCCGTTTCGGGAAGATCCCACATGCCGCGGAGCGGCTGGGCCCGTGAGCCATGGCCACTGAGCCTGCGCGTCCGGAGCCTGTGCTCCGCAAATGGGAGAGGCCACAACAGTGAGAGGCCCACATAACGCAAGGAAAAAAAAAAAAAAGTCATCCATAATCATCATCATCAACAAGCCCTGGAATCAATTAAACTTAATAATACTAGCAAAATCACCACAGATTATTTATCTCAAGAAGTATAATCAAGATTTTAATCGCAAGATAAATCCTACCTGCAATAGTAATACAAAGTGTTTACTTGCAAAATCCTGATTCTGTAGTCCACAGCATCCCAAGCACAAAACAGCCAGATTTCTTACTATAGGATGAACACTTATTATTCCAGGAAGAATCTAAAATGAATTAGAAATTAAAATAATTTTGACTAGGATAAGAAATTTACAATAGTATATTTAAAAAATGCAAATTTCTGTATGATTTCACAGACCTACTTCATTTCCATGTAGTCTATTAACCCAAAAAAGTCAACTTTTGGTTTAAAAAAAGGTAAATATTAAATCAGTAAAACAGAAGAATACAGTCAGAGCAAAATATAGTCTGATCATGAGATACCTTCCCTCCACCTGCCAAAACTGACTCAATGGCTTCCCAATGCTCACAGAAAAGATAAAACCCCTTAACATAATATATGATACACCTCATTGTGTAGTCTTTCCCAGTATCACCTTATACCATGCTATCTCTTGCTCTCTGTTTATTCAACTGAGCTTATTTCAATGCCTCCCATTCAGTGCTGTCCACTAGAAATATAATGCAAAGCCAAGTATGTCATTTAAAATTTTTTTAGTAGCCACATTAAAGTGAAAAGAAAAAGATGAAATTTTAATACATTTTATTTTACTCAATACAGACAAAATATTATCAATACAACATGTAATCAATGTTAAAAAATTGAGATTTGTTTTTTAGCTGTGGCTTTTTTCATGTTTATAAAAAACTGAGATAATCTCTGTTGTCTGTACTAAGTGTTTGAAACCCAATGTAGCTCTACATTTATAAATATGTATAAATATATATATATTTGGACTAGATTTAATAGCCACAGGTTTTTAATATCCACATGTGGCTGGTGGCTACCATACTGAAGAGAGTAGGTCTAGATCATTCTTCCCTCTTTGTCACATAGTTAACATCTACTCAAAACATGACCTCAAGGTCACCTTCCATAAACAGATGAAATCTCATTATCATAAATTCACATATGACCATAAACCTCTTCTTCATAGCAATTATCAATGGCATAAGCTTTCACTTGTTTATTTGATTGATGCCCCCCCTCACTTGACAGGAAGATCCAAAAAGGGCAGTCTGTATGTGTTCTGTACACCATGTACACTCTATCCCCAGCACTGGGTGTATAGATGTTCAATAAATATTTGTTCACTTAATATATGATTTTTATTTAAAGCACAGTAATTTCATTAAAATATTATAACTCCTATATTTAAATACCTTACTCATTTACATCCCTCTATAGTCTCTTTCAATCTTTAGACAGATTGTTTTTATATACTTAAAAACATTATGACCATTCAATTTTGTGTTCTTTCTTCCCTCAGTATTGTGTTTCCCCAAATATATATGTAAGTCTTCATATTTACTACTTCAATTGTGCAATTAATTATACCATCATTTATCATTCTCTTGCAATAGAACCAGACATAAAGTATACAAGCAGAACTTTAAAAGTATCACTTTTCACTAGAGACATCTGCTTTGTTAAAAATAAAACTAAATTCTAACGGTTTAACAGATCTAGTTTTAATCAGCTCTGGACTGTTATAAACAATAATTGGTTTTCTTTACTATATTTAGAAACTCATGACAATCCAAGGAACTAGATTTTAGATCACATTCATTGGCTGTTTTTCACTAATCCCAAGTAAAAACAATTTGGGGAGAATCCTGGAAGAGGTTGGATACATTCAAAATTTGCTTTGGATAAGTAGCACTATTAAAAAGAATACTCTAAAGCTGCATGTCTAATACTGTCACCATTAACCACATGTGGCTACTGAACACTTGAAATATGACTAGTCCAGATTAAAATGTGCTTTAAGACTTAGTATGAAGAATAGAATGTAAAATATCTCAATAAAATATTGATTAAATGATGAAATTATAATAGTTGGGGTATACTGGGTTAAATATATTAAAATATATTTAAATTAATATATATTAGAATTAATTTCACATTTCTTTTTAATTTTTAATTGTGGCTACTAGAAAATTTAAAGTTACATGTGGTTTGCATTATATTTCTATCAGACAATGTGGTTCTAAAGGCTTGTGGTATTTATATCCCTCTCGTCAGTAAAATGGAGATTACCTATGAAGGGTGACTTTAGTAAAGTCCTTAAACATATAATAATAAACAAATTCCCTTCACAGGGCTTACAATGTAACCTTCTCAGTCTTTCTACACAGCAAGATTCTGGTACTTAAATATTCCTTATGTATCTCAGTATTTCCTCTTACTATTCAAAAAATGAAGATATTCTGCATCTCTTTCCAGCATAAAATAATTTTTTCAAACTTTCTAAAGGAATAATTATAACTTATATACCAGGTCCTTTACATGCATTATCTTAATCTAATCCTCACAATATGAAGCAGCCACTGTATTATTTTTTCTTTTTTACCATTTATATTTATCAGATGTTTAAAATCGTCTTTTCATTCTTTTGAACCCCAAGGAACATATTACTTATAAAATGATGAAGGCGCGAGCTAAAATAAAGCCTCAAAGTGCACCAACATACCAAAGATTCAATGATGCCATTCATGGTTGCACCTATACCTGTTGAAGTGCACATCTGTTTCAACAGTTCATAGCACAAAATAAGACACTTCTGTAGTGTTTCAGCATCATTCTAAAATGAAACACAAAATATTCAGCATTAGTAAAAATATATTCTGCCCATCCCTTAAATGTTTACTTTCTCAAGGATTTTTGTCCAAGATATGTTGTCTCTATACACACTCCCTGCACAACCTTATCCAGTCACAAAACTTACCGTTTATAAGCTGGTTCAACTATTTTCTAAGTTTCAGATTCATATATAAAACTGCCATAAGACATTTCCTCTTGAATGGTCCACAGGCTTCCCAAACTCAAAATGGCCAAAAGGGAACTAACCAATCATTACCCAAATTCCTCCTCCTGTGCTACCTCCATAAATTTCGCTGCCATCTACCCAGCTGTCCAAACCAAAAGACCTAGGATACATTCTTGACTCACTCTTCTCCTTGTTACTAATTCTTAAATACTTCTCAAATCCATCACTTCTTTCCATATCCACCATCATTATCTTGTTCAGACTGCACTCATCTCAATCCTACATTACTGTTAACAGTCTTCAAACTAGTATGCCTGCCTGCAATTCATTTCCTGAGTAACAGTGATCTTTATAAGACATAAATCTCACCTTTAGTGGTTCACCATGATCTTTGGGTAAGGGACAATTTTTAAAATATTGTTTATACAAGGCCTTACATGAATTGGCCCTTAATTTCTTCCCCCCAGATTTATCCCTTATCTCTCCACCTCAATTCTTTAGTCATGTGGACCTGAAGTTTTTAAACACAACAGGCACTCTTTAACTTCTAGGCCTTCACACACGTCATCCCATCTGCCTATAACATTCCCTTAACAACTCACTGAGGAGAGATGACACAGAGTGCATTAAAAGCACAATCAGGGCTTCCCTGGTGGCGCAGTGGTTGAGGGTCTGCCTGCCAATGCAGGGGACGCGGGTTCGGCCCCGGTCCGGGAGGATCCCACATGCCGCGGAGCGGCTAGGCCCGTGAGCCATGGCCGCTGAGCCTGCGCGTCCGGAGCCTGTGCTCCGCAACGGGAGAGGCCACAACAGTGAGAGGCCTGCGTACCGAAACAAAAAACAAAAACAAAAACCTATATATATATGTATAACTGACTCACTCTGTTATAAAGCAGAAACTAACACACCATTGTAAAGCAATTATACCCCAATAAAGATGTTAAAAAAAAAAAAAAAAAAAAAAACACAATCAAAGCCACTTGCCTGGGTTTGAATCCTGCCTCTACCATTTACTATCTGTATAACTTCAGGCAAGTTACTTGCCTTCTATAAAGTAAGGATAATTGTACCAATTCCGTTAGGTCATAATGAGAATCAAATGAATTTATACTTATGAATACCACAAAAAAAGGATCCTGTAACTACTTGCTTGTATTATTTTTATTCAAATCTCAAGCTGAAACATTTCTTTTGGGGAAGCCAATACCACCCTCTCCATAAAACCCCTATACTTACCTGAACATAACATTTATTATGCTATACTGTAATTATACTGTAATAGATTTATAACCCTTAAAATAGGACAAATGAACAGATAAATGGTCAAAGCAAGTAAAGTTAAACAGATAATATTAATCATGGTAGATCACCCTAGTTAAAATTTTCCTAATTCAGACCTGCAGTTTATATCATTTTTCAGTTTATATTTTCATTTTTCACTTTAAATTTGCTCCTCAAATTTAAGAGCCTATAATGATCCACTGACTTGGTCAAACAAAAGAAATATGCTACTTAACTATGAAAATAAAATTCAGGCATACCCATTGGGAAGGTAGGGTGTTAGAGCGGGGATATCTACGGCTGCAGAGCTCAAGGACATAACATAACTTACAAAACTCTCCTGTATAGTAAACTCTTCCCTATCCAGCATTCTCTTTATAAGAATAATCAGCACTTCCCAAACCAAAACTACAGTAATAAATGATGTTTACTACAAAAGGCAAGATCCTAAAAGACCTCCTGAATTAAAGTTAATAGCAAATATTATAGTAATTGATACCATTTTACCTTACATTAAAATAATATTCGTGTATCAAATACAACTAATTAAAAAACACTGCTGAAACGAAGCTTTAAATGTTATTATATATATAAGTTTAGTATTTCTTTTTTTAAAATTTTTATTGGAGTATAGTTGATTTACAATGTTGTTAGTTTCAGGTGTACAGCAAAGTGAATCAGTTATACATATACATATATCCACTCTTTTTTTTTTTTAAGATTCTTTTCCCATATAGGCCATTACAGAGTATTGAGTAGAGTTCCCTGTGCTTATTAGTTATCTATTTTATACAGTATTTCATTTAAAATAACAAAGTTACTTAGCTTTTTCTAAAAACAAAAGAGTAATTAAACTTTAAAACACTATGTGTATAATGGCACTGTTACTACAGAAATTCTT